AGGGTCGCGGAGAGTTCCGCAGCGGCGCGCCAGGATGCTTCGTCGAACACGAACGGGTCGTCCTTCGAGCGCGCGGGAGGCAGCGGGCAGAGGAAGATGTGGTTGGAGACGTGGTCACAGAGCGCGGTGGGCGGCTGGTTCGTGAGCGGACGAAGGGACATGGGAATTTGGAAGGGGACAAAGTCGTACTTTCCGGAAAGGTCCGGGAGCGAGAGGACGCGCGCGAGCGCCTGCGCAGCGACGACGTGGAGCGCGCCTGTAATCGTTGCACTGTGGGAGCGGGAGAGCGCGGCGAGGATTTGCGAGTCGGCGGGACTATAGGAGAGCAGCCGGACATGGTTTTTTTGCTCTGGGCTCCGTGGCACGACGGGATTGCCTCGCCATGCGGTTGAGGGAGGGGAGTGCGGGGTAACCTCGTGCAGGAGTTGTTTGAAGGAGACCGAGAGCTTAGTGAGCTTTTCGAGTGGGGGGACCAGGCTGACGGTCGCCGGTATATCTACGATTGGGCTTGCCAACTCTGACTTTCCCTGGGACTCGGCGGAGGGGGCGCGGAGGGCCTCTAGCAGGCAAAGGTGGAAGGCACGACCGCTGAGGCCGTCGCCGATGCCGTGCTGGTAGGCGAAGACGACTGTATTGTCCGGCAGCACTGTCAGTCGCCAGAGGGGCCTGTCTGTTGCGTTGATGTCAAACGGCACGGCTATCTGCTGCTCGAGGACGTCCTGCAGCGAGGTTGGGTCGTGCGTGAACTGCACGACCTTGTCGAGGTTGATGCTGTGCAGAGGGACAAAGGCGGGCTTTTTGCACGCGGAGGGGGAATATGCGACACAGACGCATAGGGCACCGGTGGATTTGATGAGTTTGGCGAGAGCGGGGTAGAGGACGGACGGTGTCAGACTCTGGGATGGCGCATCCGTTGGGAAGACGTAGCGCGCGGAGACAACCACACAAGTGTCCAAGCCCAAAGCTTGCCTGGTTATGTGGAAACGCTCCAGAAGGCCTGCAGTTCGATCAGTACATCAAATCTTCCGCGCGCAAACTCTGCACTCGCCTGCCTTCCTGATCATATCCTTGGTTTTGGTCGATGACATATTCTCGTAACGAAAGGGTAATGGCGGCTGGCGTCGGTGGTGAACATTGACTCTCGCTTTTCGAGGGATTATATATTGATGGGAATATTATATGCAGCGTTGCATAAGCGACTGAAGGATCCTCCTGCCTTCGCGGTAAAGAAGCAACGAGCGCTGTCAATAGTACAGCCACCAGGGGTGGTTAGACTGCGGAGTAGAGTTTGATCAGATAATTTGCGGCGGATAACCATAATAATGTAGTCAGATATTTCATTATGATGATGATTACCAGGTGCAGTCGTTCGCGATGGATATAAGTCGCCTGGCAAGCGGAGAAGTAGGCCCCAAATACTGAGATTCATGAGGCGTCCTTTTACTCCGGGTTTCTTGTGATCACTTCAACAACGATACGCAAGTCAAGCCTTCAATGAACAGCAAGTGAAAACAACGGCCGTCGACGAGATATTGAGCAAGAGTGCGTCAGATGCTCGAGCGTGCTATATAGTATGTAGCCTAGAAGATGTGCTAAAAACTAGTAAAATATATATTTATTATTCTGTTAGGATCCCACGAGGCATTCACTGTGCAGCAGACGCAGGCAGACGTCCTTTCGGTTCGTCCGAGCTGCCAGTCTTGACTCAGCTCAGTTGCGTTCGGTCACAAGTTCCCGGCGCAGATGCTGCGAGCATGTCTCCAGCAAGTAACGATCCCTACTCTGTTTCAACCTACGCCGATTCCATTAGCTCCCGTCCGGACAGGACGCTCGTCGTGAAATGTACATTCGATCGCTCGAATAAGAGAATCACCTTCTCTTCTGCACGCAATTGTTCGTATCAGCTACTAAGGGACAGGGTGAGTACCGTTCTTGCTTGACCGCCCGGTTTCTGACAGCCGAATAGGTCGAGCAATGTTTCTCCTTGTCTGCATCTTCCTTCGTTATCTCGTACAAAGACGATGACGGCGAAGTCACAGACATTACCAACGAGCTCGACCTGACCGAGGCCATCTACTACTTCCACACGGATGCGAGCTCCGAGCCTGCGTCTTCTGCGTCCTCCATCTTGTCCGGGCGCTCTTTCGGATCCCTAGGCTCCAAGAAGATTACCCTCCGGATACAAGTCACGGTCGACTATGACGGTCCCAGTTTGAGCGACAGCAGCAGCTTAGCCAGCCTAGACGACTACCGAGGCCGTCAGGCCGGAAGCGAGCTCAGTCTCAACTGGAGTGCGCCGGGTAGTGAGATCGACGGCACGGTCGACGCAGAGCACGAGCCGGAGGACGATGCGGTCACGATCAGCTCCCGCGATACGGGCGGTAGTGTAGAGTTGGAGCGTACGAACGGCCATCAGGGCAAAGCACGTTCCCATCTTCCCCCGGTTGCAGAGGACCGGTCAGACTTGGGTAGTCAATGGGAGCTTGCTACTGTAGCAAGTACGCGCACATGTTTCTCAAAGTTGGGATACTGACTATGTACATGCCTGCAGATAACCGCACAGCTTCCCCTTCACTAGAATCCGTCACCTCCCGTAATGTAGAGGATCCTTCCGCCGTCTTCTCTCGCCTCAAGCTTTCCGAATCTTCCTCCCCGCTCAACGCCGGCCCGTCCTGCGTTCCTCTTACCTGGCTACAGGACCAGAACAATCGGACCATTAAAGCCATGCTCGGCGCCCTTCCTGAACCATCCGAGACCGACACTTCCTCGATCTCCCTGCGCAGCACCGAGGACGGCGACGGCGACGTCGAGTCGCTCTCAGGTGGGGACCTGTCGCTGCAGCGGGACCACAGAGGCAAGTACTATTATTCATATACGAGCGCTGGGTCCGGGTCCGTCTCGACACACGACTCGGGCTACCAGGACGATGACAGCCTGAGCGCGACGTACGACCCCACGCGCTCGTCGATGCAGGTGGACGGGAACCCATTCGTGGACCCGCAGCACGGGCTCAACGCCCACCCTGCTATCCCCAGTGGAAGCCGTTCGGCGTCTGAGCCTGTGCTGCAGATTCACCCATCCATTCCGCCGGAGGTGCTCAGGTACCTGAATGATGACGCCGAGCCTGCGGGCCCGCCTCCTGAGCAGCTCACGAGTTGTAGCGAGTGCGGCGTTATGCTCGAAGCGATCCGGTACGTGTGCGCGACGTGCGGCGAGAAGCGACCAGTCTCGCAGCGGGACACCGGCGGTGACGCGATGAGCCCCTTCGAGGATCCGTCGGAGTATAGCGGAGGAAGGGGCCTGCACGTTCCTACGCCCTCGTCGTCTGCAAACTCTTCGAGGACGTATATTGCGGACCGGGAGCTGCCCGAGCACCGGCGGTACGCGACTGACCCGCATGGGCCGCAGCATGAGCGGCACCATCATCACCACCACTACGACCCGCTCGACCCGCGCCATCACTACCACGCAGCTCACCCTCCCCACCCTCACCCTCACGCCCCTCACCACCCTCACCAGCATTTCTCGCCGAGCCGCTCAATCCCAAATGGTTCATTGCACCCGCACCCGTTCTTCCACCCGCGCACCTCGTCCCTGCAGAATGGGTATATGTCATTGGCGTCGTCCACGACCCTCCACGGACCGCCCAGCGACTTGCCGGCGTCCTTTCCCTCCTCCTATACCCACCCGAGTCACTCACCTTCCTCGTCCCACTCGAGCTCGGGCTCGACCCCGACGTCGCCCAGCGTCCCCGGGGGCTACGAGCTGTGCTCAGGGTGTATCGAGCAGGCGGGCGTCAATCACGCCCTGGAAGTGGTGGGAGGAGGCGCGGGCCCTGGAATGACTATGGGCGTGGGCCGGAGCCGGGGTCCGGAAGCGCTGAGCCAGTGGAGGCGCGCGGCGCCTAGGCAGAAGGGCCAGCTTAGGCACGCGTATATCGAGAAGGTGTGGGGCCCGAGCGGGTGGGAGGATGTTGGTGAGTCTGGCTTCTCTGTCTCGGGTGGACTGCGTGTACTGATCCTCATGACGGCTGCAGAGCAGGATAACAAGAGGAACTGCAAGTGCTCAACGTGCGGGACGGATATCGTCAGCAAGCGGTACAAGTGCGCTAGTTGCCAAGACTTCAATCTGTGCATTGCGTGCTACGGGTAGGTTGCGTTATGTTCATACTGCGGCTGCTGCGCCGCGTGAGCCGTCGCACTAATGGGATTTGCGAAACGTGTAGGCAGGTGCACGAAGTCCATCCGTCACATGCATTCTTAAGTGTCCCCGACAAGCCTGCGCGGTCCAAGAGCGACTCAGATATCCTCGGATCGACGAGCGCTTCTACAGCGGTAGACTTGGATCCTGAGGGAGGCGAACCTTGTAAGTCTGCGGTTTCCGCAGCGTCCTTGCCCTTTAATATGCGTCTGTTAACCTGCTATGTAGCCATGAAGCATCCAGGAGTTAAATGTGCACAGTATGTACCTTCGTTGTTGCGGTATTTGGGATTTTCTGACGGTGAAAGCGCAGTTGCATGCAGGATATCGTTGGCGCGAGGTTCCATTGCGCCATATGTGAGTCCGTGGACATTTGTTCGAACTGCGAGTCCGCGGGTCTGCCGGGCAATCTCGATTCCACGGACGACGGCCATAACTCCTCGCATATCATGATCAAGGTAAGGCTATCCGTGTAACGCAATCCGGACCACGCTTACGTAGTCTCTGTCACCTAGATACCCTATCCACTGGAGACGACGGAAGTGCAGACCGCGAGCAAGCGGGCAAAACACCTCTGGAGGTGCCGCGACGCGGCCGACGTCGGATGCGATCCTGTTCCTGATTCACCCCCAATGTCGTCTTACGCTAAGACTGTTGTCGGCTCGGGTAAGAAGGGCGCTGAGTCGGTTCGAGACACTATGGATCATCACATCTTATGCGATGGTTGCGGCATGGTATGTGCCGACGCCAATTGACAATTTGAGACAATTGTGGCTCACTTCTAATGCTTTCAGAACATCGTTGGAGTACGATATCAGTGCGCCAGCTGTTCTTCGAGCCCTACGCCATACAGCCTAGTGAGTTGTCTGGTCCCCCCTGCCTGACCGCACCTTTAATCAGGTCCTTCCCTAGTGCGCTCATTGCGAAGAGCGGTCTTATCTACTGCACGACCCTATGCACATTTTTGTCAAGTTGCCTCGACCCGTCGATCGTCCCTTGCAGAGCCCTATGTTCCTGATCCCCAGAATGTGAGCCTCGCAAGAGTTCAAAAATACTTGGAGCTGACTGTGCTCTGCTAGATACACCGAGCCCGTCGGCGCACGATTCCGCGCGACTCGCAATAGTCATCCGAAAGGTAATCCAGCGTGTCCTGCTAGTTCCCCCAATTGATACTCATAATACTTACCAGACTATCTCGACTCTGTGCTACATACCCACACCTGGTGTGACCGTTGCATGACCCGAATCCGGGGTGAATGGTTCCACTGCGGGTTCTGCCCCAAGGATTTGTGCAGTGACTGCGAGGCCATGGACACGCACGATAACACGCATGTCTTTCTTGTCCTCAAAGCTCCGGTATGCCTGATCAAATTCCCCAAGCGAAGTTTTGCACTAACTGATAATGCAGGTCGACTTACGGTTCTTTAAGCGAGATGCCGAGTTCGTGGATAGCGGGGGCGGAACACCCCGTCCTATCATACCTTATCCTATCTATCGTTCATGAGATTTACGATCCATCTATATGCTCATCTCTACCCGCATTGTTTTCGCTGTGTAGCTTTTCTGGATCATCGCAGCATTGTAGCATGTAGCAACATACACATACTAATACAGAACCGAACGCATCATCTAACCCTTCTTAAACCCTGCATAATTGAGTTAGCGGGTGAAGCAAACATAGAGCAAGCGACGACTTACCGAGACGACGCCGCTCATAGAACAAATCCGTCCGACTGGCTCCCAGATTCACGATCTTCGGACAGCCATCTCGATCTTTCTCTAACCTCGTACACTCGGCGCAGTAGTAAGCGTCAGAAATTCCGGGCGAGCCGCAGATGATGCAGCGCCCGCCGTAGGTGCCGAAGTTGCATTCGTCGCAGATGCGCACGAGGGTCTCTGGTCGGACGTAAGAATCACAGACCGGGCTGCAGACAAGACGTGAGAGTCGACCATAGCTTGTAGCTAGATAGTACAACATACCATTTCCCGTCGCATTTCTCACATAGACGGCCGATAGCTAGATGAAAACGGCGTCAGTCGCCATACCCCGCGTTCACCAGCACGCGCTACTTACCGATGCCAGGCTGACGCCTGCACATAATCAAATCTATCCAAGCGGTTAGTAACTTTCAATGCGTTATACGATGCTCATACTCACCGGGATGGTGCTTTGACATGGTTGTAGACGGTGGTGAAAGAGAAGAGAATGAGATCCAACGACAAGCTGGAATGATTCAATGAAGTCTGCCGGTGTAAACTTGAGACGCCAAAATGATTTGTCAGCGGTGATCGGTGGGAGTTGCCACAGGGGTAATCGTGCCGCGCAGCGCCGAATACATGTACTCGAATGCAACTCGAATGCCCTCAAGTTTGGTCCCAGGTTTGTCCGGATAGTGACACGGGATCTATCCGTATAATCCAGGGTCCTATTCCCGACCGGAGACTTTCCGCCATGGTCGCACAAACGACTTCGGCGACCGGTCATCCGACCGTACAACACTGGACAGTGGACACTGCAACTTCACTGCAGGAGCAGTACTATGTACGGTACAGCATTCCAGCAGATATGCAGGTGCTGTTGTTCAAGTGGGAGGCGCAGTCCTAGTGTTTGCGCTGCTATCTTGTTGGGACCAGTATTTCCTCCAGACGCGGCCGTCTTGTGGCTTGACGTTCCTCCCCCGGCGTTACATTAAATTCATACCACCATCGAGGTCACCTTCCTTTGACTCAGCAACTTTCAGCTCGAGTAAGTCGACAGACAAATTTGTCACATGTACAAAAGGGCTCGGACAAAGCGGAGCGCCAGGGTATTGTAAGACCATTTCTCATGAGGCGGGGAAAATGCCACAAGCACGTTGCTGAACAGTGACAAATAGCTAACAGCAGATTAAAGAGCTGCAATGCGCATTTTCTGACGATATCTTATACTCAGCGTTAAGTCGTAATGTAACGACTGACGCTTAGCGAGACGATGTTATAGAATGTCCCAGAACGAAGGTGGCAAACAGCAGGACCAATGAGTACAATGGGAGGGTAAACGAGGCTAGTCCAAGGACCCAGACAGTTCTCCGAAGGAATGGATGATGAGTCAATCGCATAGGCTACAAGTCAGGATTGAGGTCAAGATCAAGGTCGAACAATTGCTGCGGCGGTCGCTGATCGGGTCTGTAGACGGTGGCACCCGGGGCCAAGTGGGCGCCGCCATCTGGCGGTCTGGTAGGTGACACAGTAGGCGCTGTATGTTGTACGAAATAAACATTTAAGGTGTAGGCTGTGAGATCAGGGATAGCAACTTACGTCTGCCTACGGAGTGGGTCTCGCCCAATAAACCAAGAGGAGCTTCGGCATTGAGCCTCCCGCGGCGCATCTTCTCTTCGTTGGGAAATGGGGGGAAGAACAGGGGCGGGGGCGGCTGTCCGGGGAGAGTGAGATCGGGCATGTTGGGCGGTGCGGAGGTGAACGCGCTGAGGCTCTGTGCATATGCCAGGAGCTCGGGATAAGGAATGGCGGCTGAGGATGACTAACGTAAGTTTTCCGTTGAAGGATAGACAGCATCCCTAACCTTCTTTCGCTTTCTCAATCTCCTTTATCCGTTCGTCGCCTTCGTCGATCATCTTTTCTAGCTCACGCCTACCCACCTCCATTTCTTGACATATCTCCATCCATCGCTTGTCAAGATCGAGGATTTCATCCTTTAGTCGCTCAATCTTTCGTTGCTTGATCTGGTGTTTTCGGGCCAACGACAGAGCAGCCGCTATTGCAGCATCCGTTTCCACAAAAGCCGACACTGGTGGTGCTGGAGGCGGCTTCTGGTTGGGAGACAGAGAAAGAAATAGGGTCTGCGACAATCCCTGAAGACGGCTTAGGGGTTCCATAAGGACAGCAGTCATGGACGGGTCGCCATCCGAGGGCTGAGGATGGCTGCTTCCTGCCGTCTGCGAACTTATCCTAGACTGACCCTGCGACTGTGAATGAGGCTGCGACTGGGATTGCGATAAAGGAAACGAGGAACTAGTAGGCTGGGAGAAACTTGACTGCGACATGGTAAGCAGCCACAATCCAGGAGCGAGAGCCATAAAAGTCAAACGCGTCTGCATCCAACGAACTGTGGCTGTGGCGTCTGTAAGGCCTTCCCACGGCTTCACCAAGCGCCCGAATCTTCAGCTTCGCTCCCTTTTCTATGTCAAAATTTCCGCACACGCGATTCTTTCCTGGACGGTCAAAGGCTGTCGTGATATCTGGGCCAGAAATCCAAGTGGTTAATTCCCAGTGAGCTAATGCCCACAAAGAGTGAATAAGACAAGACCTGATTTCCGGCTGGTCACATAGGACCGGATCAATTCTATGCTCAACTGCCAATCTTGAAGGGGATTTACGAGAATCCCTGCTAAAATCGGGCCCCATACGCTGTGTCGATGTTGACAATGGCCTCCGTCATGTCGTTACCGTTGGCGACGACAAGAAGATGAAGGTGTGGGACACGGAGAGTTTGAAGGTTCTGTCCGAAAGGTGAGTACTGGGTCTCGTCTGGCTTACCTCTTTTTCGCGGTATTGAAAATGCTCCTACTCGAGGTAGAGAACTCCCCAAAAAGCCGACCGAGGTTCGTTTCACGAAGGACGGACAAACTATCCTCACTGCCGATAAGTTTGGGGACATCTTCAGGTATGCATTCGCCCCGTCTTGAAACATGATTGTTCCTAATTCAACCCGGCGAAGTTATCCGCTTCATCCTGGTTCGGAAACTGCCCCTACACAATCGAGTAACAGGCCGAAATTCGTCTCGCACGATAACCCGTCTGGCGGGAAACTGATTCTGGGTCATACATCGCTTCTCACGACCTTCCTGCTCACCAAGGACGAAAAATACATTGTCACGGCGGACAGGGATGAACATATCAGGGTAAGCTGGTACCCGCAGGGATACAACATTGAAAGCTACTGCCTCGGCCATGAAAAGTAACTCGCTCCTATTCGCAAGCGGGTTTGCTTGACGACTCATTTTCCACCCGTGATTTCAGATTCGTGTCCGCTCTGCACATTCCAACGAAGTCCCCTTCCAAACTGATATCAGGAGGCGGCGATCCCTCATTGAAGCTCTGGGACTGGTACGAAGGCCGGCTGCAGACAGAAATCAGGATTCTGGAACGCGTGGAACCATACATCAAAATCAAAGTGCCTCAAGGTAAAGGAGGCAGGTGGGACGAGGACGGTGATGATGGAGAGGAGGGTGGACAGAGGGGACGAAGAAGAGGGAGGAAAGGCAAGGGTAAAAGCAAAGCTGACGGAAATCAGTCGGAGACACCACAGCCTGAGGGAATAACAGAAGACATGGACGTGCAAATGGGAGATGTAAACGAAGAGCAGAAAAGAGCGGATCAAGAGCCGGAGCTGGAAACAATTCTGGCTATTAGAAGAATCGCCACGGTCGGTAGTTCGAACAGCGGTGAAGGCCCACAGGATCTGGTCTTCAGTGCCATTGGGTGAGTGAACGCCCTTCCAAGGGAGTACAATATCGAAGTCTCGCTTACGTGCCGCTCCCCATTGCACAGAGCTACAGCCTTGTTCTCTTGCCCGTATCCGGGCACAACTACTCCAGACACCGGTCAAGAGACCGCGGATACGATCATTGTCGTCTGCGACTTAGGACATCCAGTTCTCGACTTCGTCGTCATTGAAGATCACGAGGAAGCTGGTGCGCTGTTCTGGGTCCTCCTCGATGGTGAATGGGGCATTCGTGCGGGAGCTGACGGTGCGCCACCCACGAAGATGGTTCGCGCTGTGCGGTATCGCAATGGCGAGGTGTGTGATTCCCTCCCATCGGAGACAGCGAACTCACTGTTACCTCAGTTCATCGTACTGGACGAAGGAAGCGAGTCCCCTTTGTTATCGTCTCTCAATTCTACGGCCGTGCTGTCTGGTGGGTTCTTCTTAGCGTGAAGGGAACTTCTTCGGCTCAGCTTGCTGCCACAGCTACTCCGGCCCAACTATCCTCTCTGGACTTGTACGCGGCGTTAAGCTCTCTGCCCAAGAACACGCACGCGGATCACGATCCCATGGACCGCTCAGAGACCGGCTCCGCCCTCGGGGACAGCAGCAGTACGAAGCTCGGTGGGAAACACATGGGTAAACTGAAGACAAGGATGGCACTGGCTGCCGCGATGTCAGAGTCTAAACAGCTTAAACCCGCAGAGCAAATGGAAGAGGACCAGAGGGATGGTAAGAAGCTGAAGCAGGGCGAATAGAGGTAACGCAGATGGTCAAGGAATACATGCGTGACTGTCCTCCTGCGCTCTGTGTGAACGCTCCGTGATCCAGGTGCTTCCATGATTCGCGACATATCGCCGTGGGGGACGCGTAGAATTCAAATCACCAACACGTGATCGCGTCTGCTCGGTGCGGCATCATTAACCTGAGCTTCAGTTACCATGAGTACTGTACCTGGGTAGATCTAGACAACCAGCACATGCGTCGAGGAGAAACCCTTGCTAAAACTTCGGAATCGACTGCTATCACAAACATTACGTAGTCAGGTACTCTGAGTACCCTCACCAGTATAAAAAGCGGCCGGGTATGTTTGTGTACTTCATCTCCGAGTCCAGCGAGCAAGGAGACGATCCATCATGGTCAGAATATCCAGTGTTCTTTCGGCCGCCGTGGTCTCTCTTGCGAGCGGTGTACTTGCCCTCGAGGAACGGGCCACAGGAGGTTACGTCCAGAACCCCTCCGGATCTGCCTCCTTCACAATGTATTCCGGCTGTGGCTCTCCAGGTGAGTAACGTATACAGACTCTCCATCACACCCGAGTGCTGAGCACCACCCACCAGCTTGTGGAGAGACCGCGTCAGGATACACCGCAGCAATGAACCAGCTCTCCTTCGGCGCCGGGCCAGGCGCGGGTGCCGGAGACGCATGCGGGCGCTGCTTCGCGCTCACGGGCACGGCGGACCCGTACTCTCCCTCGTACACGGGGCCGTTCCACACCATTGTCGTAAAGGTGACGGATCTGTGCCCCGTGGCGGGCAACCAGGAGTGGTGCGGGCAGACGACGAGCAACCCGAACAATCAGCATGGCGAGCCGGTGCAGTGAGTGCTAGCTGAATGTAATCCCGGGTGAGCGCTAAGGTTTCAATATAGCTTCGACATTTGCGAGGATACCGGCGGAGCGGGAGCGTTCTTCCCATCTGGTATGTGTCTGCACTCGAGTTCGTTGCGGACTTTCAGCTTAGAATCTTCGGGTATAGGACACGGTGCTTTGACTGGCACGTATCGGGAAGTGTCGTGCAGCCAGTGGTCGGGTTCTGATGGCAGCCCTCTCTGGACCGGTGCCTGCCTCAGCGGCGAGTCGGCGGCGAACTGGCCTTCTACTGCGTGTGGAAACAAGGGTGCGCGTTCCGTGAGGTTACACCCGCGGGTCCCATGTTGACGGGCTTGTATACAGGAACTGCCCCGTCGTGAAGAGGGGGGTTATGAAGCCAGGCTGGAAGAATAAATGCTGGTAGTAGTCGCAAGTTTACGAGACGACATATAAAATAGAGCATCGTTGAGCCTATTGATCGTGATGCGTTTCCTTCATTCATTACGCCTAAGCCGAGAGAGCAACCGAGGATTGATCATGGGCCATTCAAAGCTGCTCGCGAGTCAGCCACACACCAGCATTGAACTGAAAGGTTTGCGTTACCTTGTATGCACTGCATGTCTTGAGTTACGAAAGGCAGGAAACAGTGGGTACGGCATAAGCCGCCGCACATTCTCCCTCCATCCCAGATCGTAGATACGCTCCTGCGGCGAGATGCGGTAGACAATTACTGTGCGATCGACCATGTAACTGTCATCTTTCATGCCAGCCGAGTCCCCGCTGTCTCCAGGGGTGACCGCCGGTGAGTCGTTCCTCAATGGGTCGCAGATGAAAACCTTCCTGGTGGACTTGGCGAAGAGCGACTCTAAAGTGGTCAGACCGCGCAGAACATTCCACGTTGTGCTGATAGCAAGACCCTGTGGGTACAAGTCCCGTGGATACTCCAAAAAGGTTATTTTGTGCAATTTGCTCACCAATGTAAACACGGAAAGTAACACCCCGCCAAAAGCAACGAGTACAAGCCGCAGATGCGGCTGCTCCACGATACCGCCCGGTAGACGGTGAGTCTGTAGCACTCTGAACCCAAGGACGATGCCTACTGGCACCTTACCAAGCGGGCCGCAGACGAGGATCCAGGACCCCCACCAATCCCACCATGCCTGCCTGGCCCAGGGGTCTTCTTGGGAAACAGAGAGGGCGAGCAGTATGTGTTGTCGCAGGAGTGGTAGAATGGGGTAGAGGCCGAGGAAGGTGGTTATGGGTGTTAGATAGAGAAGGGACAGGAAGGCTTTGATGCGGAAGAGCGTCACACAATTTCCCAGCTAAAGGGGAACAATAACACGGACAGGGTAAGAACTTAAACACTTAAGGTGTGCGTGGTCGGCTTACCCATGGACAATGGTGATCAAAGTCCAGACGGCAGACGCCACATGCGGAGCAGTGGTGCGCTCTTGGGGGATTCCAGGACCCGTTGCACTTCCCCTTGAAGCATAGGGCAAGGTCCCCGGCTTCGTTGATGCATTCGTAAGGCAGGTTTATTGTGAACTTGTTGGGCAGTGGATAATGAGGTCTGCTGTGGTCTGCTCGGTTGAGGCATAGAGATATGTGGAGAGACAATAGAAGCGCAGTGAGCGACCCCTGGGCTGCTACGTATATACCTGATAATTTGATTGTCAATGCTCCTGAAAGCGCTTTCGCATTCTCGGTAATACCTACCTCCGTAAAACACACGTCTCGTATCACTGATGATCCAAGTGACTGAAAATGAGCATTATTTTAGCCATAGAAAAGATGTTCTATAAGAAAAAGAGACTTGCGGCCAATCTCGAAACAGCAGATATACCCCGCATAACTGGAGAAATGATCCAGATCAGCGAGATCCTTAGTGCATAAGTTATCTCAGTGAACATCCCTTATAAACGACAGTACAATCGCTTGTAGCCCTGCCTCTGCCAAGCGTTGGCCAGTGCGCCACGACCGCTCGCAGGCGTTCCTCGTCATATGACACGCAGTGACTAGCCGCGATTCCGATGCTCGCGGACCAGACCCAGTGCGAGGAGGAGAATTCTCTCTTTCAGGTATTCAGGAGGCCTAGACTACTGCTTTTTAGGCCGTTAGTATGGGTCCTGCTGACCTTCAAAACGGATTCAGAGCCACGTCTCCGGACTTTGCTACGGCGAACTTGTTGACGGTCGACGAATCACGGCGCGGGACGATGGACCGGAAGTTGCCGGACAACATGCTGCGATGGCTGGATGTTGGGCCAGGGCGCCTCGAAGTTCATGGGCAGCGGACAGCTGTGTGTATTTATCACTGCAGAAATCCCTTTATCGAATTATCCCGCGCCAGCTACCGTATAAAAACGAGATATGCATATCAAACTTTACTTTGCCCCAGACACTTACTGCCGATAGCGCGCCCAAGTCTACAAGCGACTATCGTTGTTCGCCGCGTTCTCGGGAGTTGGCCCAAACACCCATGTTGTCGTTCTCGTCAGGCAGTTGGCAGTCCGACCTCATCAACTCTGCCGGAGTAACTCAGACACTCGTGCCAGGCTATGCACGCGAAGCGTCCGCGATCCTGCCACGCCTGTACCTCTCGGATGTCGTGACAGCGCAGGATGTGGGCGAGCTGAAGAAGCTAGGCATCACGCACGTTCTGAGCGTTATGGAAGTGGCGCCGACGTGGCCCGAAGACGTTGAGGCGCGGTTTGTGGGCCGCATGCACATCAAGATTCGTGACACGATGAATACGAATATTCTGAAATGGCTGGATGGGACGACGGAGTTTATCAAGGGGGCGTTGGAGAGCAGTGAGGAGCATAAGGTCCTGGTGAGTATTGGAGGGGTTAAATAGATATGCGTGGCTCCTCTGAGACCGCTGCCTTTCAGGTCCACTGCTTCCAGGGGATGAGCCGTAGCACGACGGTCGTCTGCGCGTATCTCATCGCCACCCTCGGCATGTCACATACCAAGTCCATATCCTATGTCAAGGCACGACGCGCGATTGCACGACCCAACGTTGGTTTCGTCAAGCAGCTGGAGACATATGCCATGAAATATGAGGGACTTACTCCCAGTCATCATGAGCGCAGCGAAGGTATGGGTGTGAAGGTGTCGAGGATTGTCAAGAAGATGCGGGGAAAGACCACGGTGGAAGAGACTCGCGTGAGCACCGTGTCTGTGAAGCAAAGCGCCGGCGATGTGGCGGTTCGCGAGGTGCATGAGACAGCTCATGTCTCCCTCCCCACCCCACCAACGACGGACGCCCGAGAGGATTCTTGAGACTTGCATCCCTCTGGTGAAGCTCGTCGTCGTGAATCGAGGGTGTTGAATGTAAGAATAACGTTCCGGCGGATATATCAGGGCGTGCTCAATCGCACTCGGCCGGTCTCTTCCCCTTTCTATTTATTTATCACGCGTATTCAGCTTTCACCCATGCTGCAGGTCTCCTGGATGATCATCGTTCAGAATCTTTCCCCGGCGTTCCGATGCTCGTATGCGAGGGTCGAGGACTATCGCCACACCGTCTCACTCTAGCTCGGGGCCGTCGGCTATCCGTGCCCTGCATCGTCCTTGCACCCTTGCCGTACATCTTCGCTTTGCACTGCGTCATGTTCTTCTGGAATTCTGGGACTATTATGGATTTGCTCCATGGGGTATACCGATGGACACCTATGTGTAGAAGGAGTAAATGTAATTAATGTTGTAATCTAATGTATGACCAAATACTTCGCGAACGAGTATTTCACAGAGATACTGCTGGGAGGTCTTCAACGGAAGCAAACACGACATTTCCAATTCCCCTTGCGTATGCGTGAGGGCAATGCCGCTTTCCTCATTTGCCTACAGCTGCATGCACTGAGTTGCTACATATATGTAGACCGAACTAGCCTCAGGTTGTCCTGTTCCTCAAACCCTCGCGCGCTGATATACAAGCATGTCATGAACGTCTCTCTCGGGCTTGGATGGAGACGCCGAGGTAGCATAAATGAAGAAGACAAACTCACTGCAGCACGGGGTTAAGGCCGAACTTCGTGTCCCACACAAACAAGACTTAAGGGGACCAAAGGGTCTTCTTAACCTATCGATACCGCCATGGCTGTCCCCAGACCCAACGAGATTGATCCTCTCGTAGGTAGCGACGGAAAGACGACGGTGAGCACTATCATTGCTAGTCCGTATTACTTTATCACTGATGGTTCCGTTGACGAGGAGATGGTACCGACGCACTCGGATGGTATCCATGCAGTCGAACCGACCACGGACAGCTCGAACGGACCGCGAGAGTTGAAGTATCTCCCTGCGGAATTCTACGCCTCACGCCTCTCCGACGCGGCCAAAGACCTGCAGCCCAGCGCGAGTCCGTATTCTCCCTTCCCCCATCTTACCTAACAGTGACTCCAACCACACTGTCCTGCAGTCCTCAGTCTCTTCCCGCTCGAAACCACCCCGGGCCTGATCTCCCTCCTCGCCGGCAAACCAAACGGCTCCACCTTTCCCTTCACGTCCTTCCAGTATTCCGTGCGCTCGCCCGTGGACCCCTCTCAGGAACAGACAATCAGGCTTGACGGTGCACAGCTGAGCGAGAGCCTGCAGTATGGGAGAAGCGCGGGCCAGGCCGACCTGCTCGAGTGGGCGTACGGGCTGCAGGAGTATGCACATGGCCGGCGGAGGGGCGAGGGGTGGAGGATTAGCGTAGGGAACGGGAGCCAGGACATGATTAACAAGGTGTGTTTTAGAGAGAGCATAGAGGAGACACCGACTGAACCTGTACGGAGAAAGGCGGTTTGGGCAACGGTGAATCGGGGGGACGCGGTGCTCCTCGAGACACCCATGTACTCGTAAGTCCCGTAGTGCCCTACGTAGACTAGGCATCCGCGGACATAACGCACTGTGCGACAGCGGCGTGCTACCGATGTTTCAGGCTCTGCACTGTGAAATGATAGGTGGGATTCAAGGCGGTTCTCAGTGTAACGCATGCGAGCTGAATGCCGCTGCAAAATGCAGAGGTACCTTCGGACGTGGAAGGCATCGATTCAGATGCGCTACAGTCCATCTTGGAACGATGGCCGAGTGGCAAACCGAAGCCGAAAGTGCTGTACACTGTCCCTGTAAGCGTTCAGCGACGCCCGCTCCTCGCAACCTAATGTCATTGAGCCCTCTGCAGACTGGTAACAATCCTACAGGCGTCACTACCAGCACCCACCGCCGCAAGGCGGTATTGAAGTTAGCGAGGGAGCACGACTTCCTCATCCTCGAAGGTGCGGAGGCCTTTCCCAATTTCTTCCAGGTTCCCGGTAAATCCCTAAACCGGTAAATAGACGATCCGTACTACTTCCTGTACTACGGTGCCGCAACGCGCCCACCATCATACTTTAGCCTGGAGCGCGACGAGGCCGAAGTCGGGCGGGTGCTGCGGTTCGACAGCCTCTCGAAGATCCTGTCGTCCGGTCTGCGTGTTGGTTTCATCAGCGCGCCCGAGCCGTTCGTCACCGTCATCGACTCACACGTAAGATCTCTTTGCCACTTGTCCGGTATCCCCTTATTATATATTGAGCGGTCCGTAGACGGCTACGTCAAACCTGCATCCCTCGAGCCTCACGCAGATGGTCGCGTACACGCTTCTCAGCTCATGGGGGTACGATACGCTCATGCTGCACAGCGCACACGTCTCCGGGTTCTACAAAGCCAAGCGTGACGTCTTCGAGCGCGCGATGCGCAAGCACCTGGACGGGCTCGCGGAGTGGACTCCACCCGAAGCCGGCATGTTCTACTGGTGAGCAGTAGCGTGCACCTTCCGAATGGACGCTGAACTCAGTGCCCGCGCATGCTTAGGTTCAAGCTTCTGTTACACGCGCCCGGGGTTCCAGAGACGAGCCTCGAAGAGGACTCGGAGGCTGTGATAAGGACGAAGGCGGTTGAGAAGGGCGTTTTGGCGCTCCCGGGCACGGTTTTCCTACCGAGTGGAAGGAAGACGGCGTACGTTCGAGCGGCATTCAGTTTGTTGAGTGATGAAGCGATTAATGAGGCTCTGAAGAGACTTAGGGAGGTTGTGTTAGATGCGAGAGGCACTTCAGAATGATAAATATATGGCAGACAACAGTGTGAAAGGATCTGGCTCGAGATTGAGTAGTCCGTGATTGCGATTCAATCGGTCCAAAGCGGCGCCAGGAAACTTGCATGACTTCTTCCATCATATTCCTCCGTTCAATCCCGTTGACTTCCGCCGCTCGAATGACTTCCACTGATATCCATCGCGACCGTACGGTCCAATTGACAGCACGGCTATTGAGGCTAATTTTCCGATCAATCATGAATTTGGCTTTCCAGGAGGGTATAGGAGCTTACGCTGCCAACATACAATTGATGTAGACTTGATTTAGCAGAAGCAAGTTGATGGGAGATATCGCAGACAGAAAATGTCATGCCTTTCCCGTGAATGAAGGATACCCCGGCCCGAGCTGCTTGATGGGACGGATCGAGAGGCGCGACAACCTCAAAAGGTAGATCAGTACGGCTGCCTGATGAAGGGGAATTCCGGGAGTATCACCATAGTCATCATTATAATCTGCGCAACTCTTTCGAAGTATGGTGGCGAGGTTATGGTCATTGGTATGCATAATGCGAACCGAGCATACCGGCTTACGAGGACAGTACTTCGGTGGTAATCGCAAACCTAATCAGCAGATCCACTAATGACCTACAGCCAATGATGATAAACAATGCACATGTCGTATGTGTCAACTCGAATGAAGATAACTACCTCGTTATCGTCAGCCCTTCAGACCTTGACCGGCGAAGAAGATAGCACATAGTCGCTGCGGAGCTTATATCGGTAAGGCAGGCGGCCACGGCTGATAGCGACACCATGATCTGCAGGAGACACGATTACTGTTATCTGCGCAGCACGGAGTTTAAGATGAGCACATTCGGACCTTGGACAGATGGACCCCACTCGCGGTCAACGGGGAAGTCACGTTCTGTATGCTGGTGCAAAGGATTGGAATCGGTGTCGTCGTACAGAAATCAACATGATTTCTCACTTCAAGACAGGGTACGCTGAGTGACTTTGCATCAGTTTGCGTGTCAGTTCCGTAGAGACAGGCATACATATCGAAAGGCCTAAAAAACAAATGATGTCAGGTCTTCTCAGCGGGAAGAACAGCGTGGCGTACCAAAAGCAGTGACCGCAGGTACCTACTGGGACAGGAAAGGTCAACGGGCACATTCGCGACAGGTAGACGATATACGTACAATGAGAAAGGTGAGCTTGCTCTTCCCCACTAACGAGATAAACACGAGTCAGAGCCACTATGGGAGGGGCGGAGATTGACACTCGCAGATCCATATTCGCCCTATATAGAAACTGTGGGATTTCGCCGGGGCCCAGCCGTTATTCAACGAAGGATGATTTCAGAAGTAGAGGTCACCGACCATTCCACGATCAAAGTACTTGCTCCCTGTCAGAATGCGTCGACTCGCCGGGTAAAATACGAGGTCTGGCGACTTACACTCGGAAAAGCCTGGTACTGGCGACAGGAAGACCAGTGAGATTTTGAGACGATGAGGAAGGACGTAAATCACGGTACTAATCCTGGACGGTGACAGTAGTGAGTGTAGCTATCATAGCATCAATGCGCTACTAGTACCTACCAATTCTGTTCAATGGTCAGACGCGTTGGTATATCCTGAGAACGGCGAGCGATCAGGGAAGTCCAGATAACGGCATTCAGAATGCATTGATGCGCAGTGTCAATCTGGCAGGACAGTGAGTAGGAGCCGATGGCTCAGTTCACATGAGGTGGGCAGACTCACAAGCCAGAGAATTCCCACCTGAAGATGCACAAAATCATGCGTTATGGCATATACGATGTAAGGTGATATTGCGCGGTAAGCTCACAAGCCATTGAAACATCTTTCTGTCCTTCTTATATGAACGATAATACCATACTGTCTGGGCGAAGGCAATGCCGTACAACCTACATACAAGATGAGCATCCAGAATGTCTGCCAACAACCGACACTTACACATCTGAAATGACCACGCCAACGTAAATCGGCTGGTATGCACCTGTGAGGAGTGGCGAAATGGAGGACGACATGGTGGGATCCTCCTTCCGGTGCGAGGAATTAGCTGTATATGCACAGGATGTTTACAGCCTCCAGTATGGAAGGATTCTAGACTTCGATGTCAACGTTGAATAGAGATATGAAGCATGTGGAAGCGGAGAGTGTTCATCCATCCTCAGTTATGATTGATAGCTGATGCGAGGGAGGTATAGTTCTTTTGCGCCTAGGATCCAACCAGAGCGTCCATGCAGACGCACCTTCTGACCTTGGGATATGGAAAATCCATTGGTCCATTGGTATTCAGATATCAATACAAGTATATATAGTAGGGTCGATATCGGGTAAGTCAACTGAATAACGCGGGCACACAGAAACGAAACTTAGATAGCGAGATGCATTTGGGTCCTCTCGTTCAGCGATGCCATAAATAGACAGTCTTCCTTGAAGAATTCCTTCAGCCCCAGCCCAGTGGCAGCCTCGTGTATACACGGACATCAAAACCTCATATCCGTGGATATCACTAGGAGGAATTCGCTGTCCAAGGTCGAAGAGCGGAGCCAATGACGCGAACTCGGAATGATTTCGGTTTGCCCAGCGGTTGCTGCGAACTACTTGAGAAGAGGACGGTCACGAGTTCCTTGCGGTTACTCGGATGAATCAAGAGGTCGATGCAATCAGTCTCGCGGAGCAGATGGCAGATTATCATCGAAGCGGCAAGCAATCAAGCAAGACGCGCACGAAGCAGTAGATCATGTTGAAGGCGATGAGATAGGCGAGTCACCCGCGCACAGGAGATTCCAGAATCCAAGAACCCGGGGCCAGGAGGGCGCTGGGTGTTTCGTGGACGCAGGCGCCGTCCGAAGAGCAGCACTAAGTACCAATGCTGAGAACCGAACGGCGACGGATATCAAGATAGTTGGAGCTCCGGCAGCAGAACAGCGGGTAACCTCAGAGATGGCGGAGGTCTAGCAGAGAGACATATCGGACATATCGAGGCCAGAGACATTGATACGATGCAGACACGGCGGGCAAAGCAGGTGTCCTTTTTCCGGACGGCAGGAAAAAGGACACTATGTCCTTTCACGGCGACCATCAGTGGGTCAGGAAGTAAATCTGTCACGATTGCGTCATGGTCGTGACAATGGGTCACGCAGTCTGCATTTATAATATGAAAAACCCTCGGACGCTCAGTTTTACAAAGCGAAGCATGCCATATGACCCGATAGGTGACTTTCCGTCCATATTCGGACCTTAGGCTCCCATCCGAGCCGTAACATCACACTTCGGCAGCTACCGTCTCGGACCTCCAGCAGCGTCTACTTAGGTGGCACTGGGCAGAGTACCGTACTTGCATGGTTTTTGTATCCATCAGCAAGCAAGGTGGAATGTACTCTCATATCTCCATGCTCAACACTGTAGAGCCTGCCAGAGTTGAAGTTTGTGAATATCAGATGAGATTTGAGACCTGAAGTTGCTTGCTATGCGATCTGGACGCA